TGGGCTGCAGAGTCATCAGTATGCTGATGATACCCAGCTCTGCCTCTCATTTACATCTGCTCCAGGTGAGGCGGTGGCTGTACTGAACCGGTGCCTGGCCGAGGTAATTGGCTGGATGAGGGCCAATAAACTGAGCCTCAGTCCAGGTAAGACAGAAGTCCTATTGGTGGGTGGTGCGGGTCTCCAGGTAGGTGATTTTGACTCAGTTCTGGATGGGGTAGCACTCCTTTAAAGGACAGGGTTCGCAGCTTGGGAGTACTCCTTGACCCAGAGCTGTCACTGGAGTTCCAGGTGGTGGTGGTGGCGGTGGCAAGGAGTGCTTTCCTACAACTTCGACTGATCCATCAGCTGCGTCTTTACCTGGATGAGCACTCCCTAGCAACAGTGATACATGCTCTGGTAACTTCCTACTTGGATTACTGCAACAGACTCTACGTGGGGCTGCCCTTGAAAATGGTCCGGATACTTCAATTGGTACAAAATAGAGCTGCCAGGCTGCTGATGGGGACCAGTCATTACTCTCACATAATGCTGGTCCTCTACCAGCTCCACTGTCTTCCAGTTGAACTCCGGGCCCAATTCAAGGTGCTGGTTTTGACCTATAAAGCCCTAAACGGCTTGGGACCTGAATACCTGAAGGAACGTCTGCTTCCTTTTATGCCCTCACACCCCTTAAGATCTATGGGAGAAGCCCTACTCCGGGAACCCTCTCTAAGAGAGGTAGAAAGGACATGTACTCGGAGTAGGGCCTTCTCTTCTGTGGCGCCCAGACTCTGGAATGTACTTCCCAGAGAGGTATGCCTGGCGCCTTTATACTCTTTTCGGCGCCAGGCCAAAACCTTTTTTTATCGTTATTTTAAAAATTAGCATTTTTAGTGGTTCACAGTCACTTTTGATTTGATTTATCTGTATTGGTTTATAGTAATTTTATTGCACTGTTTTATTGTTTTTATGACTATTGGTTTTAATCTTGTAAGCCGTCCTGACACGCGATAGTGAAGGACGGCATATGAATGTTTTAAACAAACAAACCATTCACTACAGCATCTCAGTCTTGTTTGGATTGTGTTTCAGTGTGTTAGCCCTCATCCAGTCTCTTACACCAGGCACATCCCAATCCAAACCTTACTTGATGAAAATGAAAAGGCACACTGGTGACAGTGCATTCCAAAACTTCAGATTACTTCACTTGGTGGTTTAATGTAGATGTTAAATTGCATGGGAGGACAAAACTGTTGCTTGAAGAACCCCATCCTGGAGAATCCGCAGGAGTGTACAGCATTTCCCAAGGAGCACCTTCTGGAGCCATCTGAATAGGCGGACAACCATTGCAATGCATTACCTTGCACTCCAGCTCAGACAGTTGTCACAGAAGGATATCATGTCCGATGCTACTGAGACATCAAGGAGAACCAACAAGGTCACACTCTCCATCTCTTGCCCAACATAGGTCACCATACAAGATGAGCAAAGCTATTTTGATGCCAACATCAGACCTGAGCCTGACTGAAATGGACCCAGGTAATCAGTCTTATCCAAGAATCTGGCCAGTTTGGCTATCACCTACTCAAGGACTTTGACAGGAAATTAACATTTGCCACTAATCTAAATCTTCTAGGCCCAGGGAAAATTTCTTCAGGAGTGGTCTCACTGCTGCTCTTTTTCAGACATTTCAGGCCCACTCCCTCCTGCAGGGAGGAATTAATCACTTCATTGGCCCAACAGGCTGTTCCTTTCTTGCAAGCTTTTATAAGCCAAGAGGGGAAAGGATGTAATGCAGAAAGTGGTTGCTTGAGGCCATCCAAGCATCTTGTCAATGCCCTCAAGCTGTATCAACTGAAAGCCGTCCAAGAAAATTGTTCAAGACATGCTCGGGGTACCTGACTGATCCCCATACTATAATGCTGGAGTCAAAGTAGTCTCAGCAGGTGGAAGAGCTTTTAACTTGGAAGTACTGTTTGATCTAAAAGCTCTTCCTGGCATTAAGTCAGAAGACTTGGAATCATGGAGGGTCCTTGGCCCGGAGCTGTTGCACTCCTGTGTTAGCTCACTTGACTGTGACCAATGTGAATATCTTACCAATGCTTGTTGATATTCCAGAATTGCGAGAGAGAGAGAGAGAGAGAGAGAGAGAGAGAGAGAGAGAGAGAGAGAGAGAGAGAGAGAGAGAGAGAGGTTCCATCAGTTCTGAGCCCCTCTTTTTATACCCAATGGCAACCCTGATGCTCAGAGGAAAAAAATCAAGAGGTACCTTAAAACAGGAATCAATAGTTTGAATCTAGTTGTGTTGAACCACTATCACAGCTGGAGGGACAGGCGGGGCGGGGGGGCAGTTCTTGCTTTCAAAGCCTTTGATCCTGCAGTGGGCTGTGCTCCTGCTGCCACTGCATTGCTGCATTTGGTGGTAAACAAGAAGATTGGCAGTTTGCTGTCCAATTCTGGTGGCAAAAACTATGAAACACTAACAAGGCCAAATTTAGCTTGTTCTCAGTGGAAGACATCAAATCCAGTTAAGTTTAAAGAAAAGTATGCAGGCTAGGCATTCCTTAAGGCTGAGTCATTACCGTAAGTATAATGCATGAGATGATATAGTATGAAGCAGCGAGGTGGAGCGACTCAGCCTTGGGATGGCAGTGAAAGATGCATGGCTCACAGAGCATCGAGATCTTCAATTAAATACTGTAATGGCATGCTGCTGTGTTTCTAGCCCTGCAGTTTGAGCAGGCAGCAATGAATTTTAGTAGAACATGGTTTTGGTCAGGTGAAGAATACGTCTATTTCATGTAAATTAATTTCATGTAAAAAGAGAAGGTGGTCAGCTATTAATACTTTATTATTCAGCAGTCCTGGGAATGCAAACTATAGAATATTCTCTTTTACAATGAGAAACAAGAACAAACTTGCATACAAAATGTTAAAAGTTCAAAGCAATATTATGGATCACTTAGCTTTAAAAAACATTTTCATACATTCCAGCTGATTGAATGTTATCAATCTGGCCTAGTGGTTCTTCCTGGTTAGAACAAAAAATGTATTTTCACTTTGATAGAGAACCCATCTTTTAGCTTTGCATGCAATTTTTAAGCCAAATTAAGGTTACAGCTTAAAGTTTACTTGTTAGGAAACACATTCTGCTGAATTAATCCAGAATTATTTCTTATCAAGCATGTTCAGGATCGCTCTTTCATAGTTCTCTGTCATCAGATCTTAAGCATGGAGGAACACCATTCTGAGAGTTTTTACCAGAGAGGGGTATATAAATGCTTTAAATAAATAAATAAAATTAAGGTGCTCACTGGCCTTTTATGCACATTTACATACAAGACACACTGTACACGATAGATAAGCATGTGTCCCCCTTCACCACCTAATGAGAAGGAACAAGTCACTGGAGAAGACCCTGATGCTGGGAACAATTGAGGGCAAAAGGAGATGGGGAGGGCAGAGGATATGGTGGCCAAATGGAATCACTGGGGCAGTGGGTATGGGCTTGCGTGGACTTAGAGGGATGGTGGAGGACAGGAGAGCCTTGAGGAATGTTGTCCATGGGATCGTGATGGGTTGGGCATGACTGTGACTAAACAATAAAGTCCCCCTTCACAATTTAAGGAATCAAAGAGGAGTGAAATGCACATGAACAAGACTTTCAGAAGTGATCCCTAAGACAGAGCTGAGATGATCTGCTACCACAGACAGGTCCTGGACATTAGGGCCTAATCCTATGTGCAGGGACAAGTTAAAGCACAAATCAATTTCACCCCATCTCCACATACACGAACCCATTCCCACAGCTGGTACGCAAGAAGTATCTACATGTGGCTCATAACCTTATCTAAGGTGGCCCACACACGTGGCCATCACCATTTTTAAGCCTGCTGAGAAATGGAATGACGGAAAGCAAATGTAAAGAACACAGCTTATATTGAAGTTAATACCTGTACAGTTCTGGCAAGTGCCGCTTGGGTGGGGAGTACAGTGGGGAGAAAAACTATTGAGAAAAACTTCAGCACAACTATTGGCACTCTACTGCATCCTTTTTCCAGAATTCTAAAACAACCTGCATCTGGTAATAATTGCTCAACCATGAAAGCATAAATCTGTAGTAATTAATATAATTAATTGAAATAAATTAATACAATAAATAAAAAGCAAAGAGCCCAAGCTGGAAGCTTGTCCAATTGCACAGAGAGGCTGGAAAAGAAAAGGAGGAATGCTTACTTGAGGTGCAAGCCTATGCATGTAACAGACCGGAAGAAAGTACTACAACTCCCAATATTCTTCAATTTGCCATTTTGGCTGGAGAATGCTGGGAAGATACTTTTTCTGTCTAAAAAGGCATAGGATTACACCCTTCGTTTTTCCTGACTGACCTGGCATTTCTTGGAATAACTTGATTTTAAATATAATTCTGCATTCTCATTCTTTCACTCATTTCTTTCTTTAAAAAATATTAACTTTTCGAGAATCTTGCTAGACATAAGGCAACAACAAATTAAATACACGATTAATCCCTGCCGAAAAAAACTGCAGCGATTCAAGATAGGGCGAGCCTTTCTTTCGTAAGGCTGCCATATCGGTCGTCCTGGCATCGGAAAGCGCTGCCAACTTCGTGCCCGGATCGCAGCCCGCTCCCCGACCCCCCGCGCCTGGCCGCACGGGCTCGCTCCTGCTCCGCTCGCCCGCTGCACCCGGCACTGCGCGCCTGCCGTGCCGGTGGGGCGGAGCCGCCGGGGCGGGAGCGCAGGAGTGGGCGCGCCGGGGAGCGCCGAGAGTCCTGCCTGACTGGCGGAGACCTGCTAGCGGCGCAGGTGGCGAGCAGGAAGCGGGCCGGGCGCGCCCCTCCACCGCGGGAGTTCGGCAAAGCGCGGGCGCCGCGCACAGACGGGCGCGGCCGTGCGGGCTTAACGGGCACAAACGCCCAGGCGGTGCTGGCCGGGCGGGGGTCTTCATCGGCATTTTCTTCCCCCCGGATAGGAGCACGGGCGGCCGGGGGAAGGACCGTCCCGGATCGAGGCTCAGCAGGCGTACCTTTCCGCCACTTTTTCGCCGTGTTTGCCTGGAAACCTAACCTGCCCTGCCCTCCTCGACGGTGCCACTTTCTCCATCCGCCTGCTCCCTGAATGAGGTAATTCGTAGTTTTTATATTTCTCGGCAGTCTGTCCACTCTCTACAGGGTCAGTCTGGTAGTCTAATGAGCTTTTGCAGGTGGAGGTGAGGGTGGACGGGCACCTTGAAATCCAAACCTGAAGTGCCAGCAGAATCTGGACAGCGTGGCTGTCGCTGGATTACGCCCCGTTTGGGCAGCGCAGATTGAGCTCTCGGCATCTGACAGGCAGGTCCCGCGCATTTTTTGTTCAGGGGCAAGCCATAGCGGAGCTCGGTGTACACCTGGGTAGGACTGTTTCTTGGCCATGTTAATATTCTGAGCCAGACTGCACTCAAAGGACGCGCAGTCAAGTCTCAATCTGAGAACGTTCTTTCTGGGCTTGTAGAGAAATAGTATTTATATTGTGCAAGCCATGTGCATGATGCTTCTTCCTCACCTGGTGCCTTGCAGATGTTTTGGATATCTGTTCTGTTCAGTCCCAGTGGCCAGGACTACCAGGAGTTGTTGTGTGGAATACTTGGAGAACAGCATTTTGAGGAAAGCTGGTATGGCAGCATATTGGACTGCTGGGAAGACTTGGGTTCACATTTGTGCCTGCCATGAAGCCCAGTGTGACTTTGGACCAGGCACTTGCTCTCAGCCTAAGCTACCTTACAGGGTTGTCAGGATAAAATGGTGGATGCAACACTTGCCTTGCCACACTTGTTGGAAACACATACTGAAGTAAATCTTAACAAGTAAGAGTCTGGTTTGGGGAACTGGGGTCAGGACTAACTCCCCAGAGCCTTTTAAAAAGCAGGGTCAGTTTTATGTCATCTGTGCCAGTGAACACTGCTAGTATCCGTAAAAATGCCATTCTCTCATCGCCAAGGTAGTGCAGCTTGTCCTGAGGGTGCATCTGGGATTGGAGGCGTTGCCAGGTCCAAGAATATGGCTTTCAGGGAAGCTTCGATTCTTGGGTGACTCCTTTCCTTATAGGAACCTTTTGAACCTTGAGCACGTGATGCTTGTGTCTGAAACTGGAATGGCTGGAAGGAAGTGGAGGTAATCAGGGTAATGTGTCACTGGGTAACTGATTCAGATCAGTGGAAGGATGGGGCATGTGTCAGCAAGGTGACTCAGCCACACACTACACACCATGCGGTGACCAGATTTCATCCTGGAGGGAATGAGTTCACTGCAGAAGTGGAGATGTGCCTTTGCTTCTGATGCTCCTGGGGTGCTGTTTTAGGATCTCAAGGAGGAAGATAGGCATGGCATATGCAACAGCCTGCTCCTGGATATATTCAGTATTCTGTTAAGTGTGTGAGGAGCCCGGTGTATCTGAGGAGCATTTCATGTGGTTGTACATGAGGTTTCCAAATCACCCAAGATTTGACATGTCTCTCAGGAAAGAGCATGTCTGGTAGGACTTCCTGAAAGGTGTGGCTGCTAGGGATTGGGTCCACCCAAGTGTCTTCCTAGCACCTGCTCATGCTAAGCGGCTGCTGCTGTTATTGCTCCCGTGTCAGGAACAGCGTTCTGGCCGGGAGAGGAGCATTTCCTCTCCATTGTTTGCCTCATCCCGTCTCCCAGTGTGTTGATTCCGGTTAGTGGAGCTACCAGAGTGACTGCTATCGATAGCCTGACAGAAACAAAGTTGGCTCTGTGCATGTGTGTGTGCGCATGGCAGTGTGTACATTTGTGGAGGGGAGCCATAACTTGGGCTACCTGTATTCACACCTGCCTAGCAAGGACTAGCCTTTGGATAGCTTTTGTCTGAGATCAAACAAAAGTTTGTACCTCTTCTCTTGCTTTTTGGTAACAAGCCAATGGCATTCCACACAAACAATTCAGGGCACAAGCTAGTTCATCCAGCTATTCTTTCCCAAGCATTCCAGCATGATGGCTCAGACCTGGGAGCTTTGCTTGGCTGGAGCCACTTTTGCTGAATGAGATTAGACTGAAAGAGTTGATCCTGAAAAATGGATTATGGCTGTAGCAAAACCATAGCCAAGACCATTCACATTTCCCAGCACATCTCTCCTGTTTTCCCACTTTTCCTTATCCTATTCATAACTTTTGTCAGGCTTTTACCAATTCCCTGGGGTTCATTTCTAAAGGCATTTATATCCTCATAGCAATGTTTGTCTCCCACGACCAGGGAGTTCAGATGGGACTTCTGCTTTTTTTTTTTAAACACACTTTTGTGACATATTTTGTGATTTCCTCACTCATTGGGTACTTAATTTGAATCTTGTCATCACGGTTCCTGTCCCTTTAAAAGGAAATGTTTTCTTAGGCCGTGGGATCAGAGGCTGAGTTAAATGTCCTGTTCTGAGCAAGAAGACATCTGTTGCTGGAAGGCTCAGGGAGACATATGCTACTGAAGGTTCTTTTCCCCCGAAGAAGGTATGTTGCACCTGCTGCTTGCTTATTTTACTTTTAATTCTTAAAATTAGCTTTTTTTATTCTTAAAATGTAGTTCTCCCTCCTTCAGGAACACAACAAATCTTTGCAGTAACTTGCTTGTAGATATATGTGAGAGCTTGTGAGGTAACTTGTGCTCTGGGTTTAGTTTGGCAGGGGGCTGGGTCTCCTTGTTGACTTTCTCTGGGATTTCTCTGGCCCTTCCTCTTTGGAGAAGTTTCTCAGCATTAAGAAAAGAATGTCATTTGATTATTTCCTTTAGCAGAGATGAATGTGTATAAATACATATGAAGGATGTTAAACACTGGGTTTTTAAAAAGGTTTAATGAAATTGAAAACAAAATTTGATGTAAAGGCAGGAAGGGCCCAGTCCACAGGACACTCCTTCGCTGCTCCAATTTTAAGGTCTATCTGGATTCTGCCATAATTTTTCTCTGAACAAAAGGTTTTTGGGTGGGATAGATATATTCCAGTATCACTGGGAAGCAGTGGGAGATGGTAATCTTGTTTTTGTTTTGAAGTATGAAAAATTATGGTTAAAAATGTTGGAATTCTTTATTTTACCCCACTGCATTATGGGATCCCTTGTGGAGCTTCCATATTGTTAGATAAGATATAAGGGAAAAATCTCGATCTATAAAGAAGTTGTGAATTGGCGCTCTTTTCCCAATTTCTATGACGTTGAATAGTGTTTATATATTGCATATGAGAAACAATGACTTGATATACATGTAACATTAACCCAGGATTTATTTATAGGTTGTTGAATTCCAGGTTGTTGTAATGAGCAAACCCAACTGTGTTAGCATATCCAGAAAGATAACCAATGGAGCTAGTTTAGACTATCAAACAGCCACTTGTAGCCATTTTAAATGCTTAAGCTTTTTGTGTCATTTTGTGAAACCTATGGCCCATTTTAGGATTATATGAGGACTGTTTAACCCTCACACTACCAACTTGCACCAGATCCAGATGACCCATGTTAATTTTGCAATCTAGGTCACAGTTTGTTGTTGCAATGTGAACTTTGGGTTGTTTAAACCATGATTTGTCATTATGTGTGAACCCAGAACCATGAGTGGTTTGTGGGTCATTTCACTAGGCTACAGAGGCAGAGAAAAAGAGCAATAAAAAACAAACAAACTCAGCCACTGTAACATGTCAGTGCTAGCATGTTGCAAGGCATTTTGTGATACAGAGAGAGAGCAGGAGGAGGAGGAGGGAAGCAAACAACCCAGAATTTGAGAAAATAAACCTCATTGTTTTGATTGACTGCCAGAAAAATCCAGGGTAGGCCAAGCCATTAACTATTTTTTCTAATATGGTCAATCTGATAGGATTTTTATAGTCTATATAAAGTAGATAAGAATGGCATGAACTATAGAGGCGATTCTAGGGTGTTCTGGTGCTAGCAAAAATACTTTCTGAAACCATTGTTTTGTTGCATGTCTATCTAACAGTTCTTTTGACCTGCAGCAAATGACCTAAACAGGCAAATGCAGGCTTTCAGTCATGGATTGCATAAGCTGCTTCAATGATTTGCCAGTGTGAAATGCAAGATGAGTCCTGCTGGACCCAGTCAGTCCAGCATCCAGTTTTTAGCAATCACTAGCCACAACTTCTGGGATTCCTACAGGTAGGGCAGCCCTTTCCCAGCAACTCATACTCTTTGAAAATAGATACCTAATGGCCAATGATAGGCCTGTCCTCCGTGGGTTTGCCTTTTAAGGCCATTGAACCTAGTGGATACAGGGTTGGGTTGTGATTTTGAATCCCCTCTTAGCCACAAGACCCGCTGAACCCATGCTTTTTCTGCCAAATCGATTTCACAGAAATAATTTGGACATGAATCGAGGTAATAACAGTGCAGCTGCTATAGGGTCAATTTAAATTGGTGGGGGCCTGAGACAGGGTTCTTGCTGAAGAATTAAACAAGGACACTTCCTCATCAGAACAAAAGGTTGTTGACTGAAAGCAGCAGTGCTGGCAAGTGGAAAGGCTTTGCAGGATTTTGGAGGCATGCATATGCAGTGCGCTTTAAGCATTTGGCTTTCTGGGCAGATCTGCCTGGCCTCCCTGGCTTCCTCAGAACAAGGGCGATGGCAGCATATTACTAACATGGAAGGCGATTTTACCTGAGAAATGTGGACAGGCCCATTTGGCTGGATTTGTAGCATACCTTTTGCCTTACACCTCTTCATCCTGTTTGGAAGACTGTCCAGCTTCTGTTTCCTGCCCCTCATGTTAATGGTTAACTCCATTCCAGGCAAACAACTGTCTAGCTTCAAGTGGCTGCCGCGCTGGGAAGTCCTCCTCCTTGATCTCTTGCAGCTCAAGGAGGGCGCGGGGGGCACAACTCCAACTGCTCAGTCCAGGTGTCATGCCCAACATCCTCTGTGGTGGCATGATGGGATTCCGAGTGTTGCAGCCTGGGCTTTTTGAGGTGCACATAAATGCCCTTGTCAGCAGTTTCTGACTGGAGCGTGAGAGTAATGTTAACACGAGTCTCAAGTTTGGAGATGATTTGGCTGTATTCCCTTGACCGTTGACTAGAGCTGGGCATCTTAACAGATTCCCATCCCTGATCCTTGGCAGTGGCCCAGCAATTGGATTATTTTAAAATCAGAGTCAGGGTTTTAGGGCTGTCTCTCCATAGCAACCTCCTCCAATGTTGTGCCTTCTGGATGTTTTGGATTACAACTCCCATCAATCTCAGCCATCCTGGCCAAAAGTCAGAGTAATGGGAATGATTCAATGCAAGTTTAGGAAAGCAGTTCCCTGTCTCTCTCTCTCTCTCTCCCTCTCCCCCTCCCCCCCCTCTCTCTCTCTCTCCCTCTCTCTCTCTCTCTCTTTCTCTTTCTCTTTCTCTCAAATTTATTTCATTTATATACTCTCTTAAATTTATTTCATTTATATACTGCCAAATAGCCAAAGCTCTCTGGTTGGTTAATAAAGTTCATAAGATATAATACATAATGTGGATACAATTCAAACAGCATAACATTTCTATACTCTCTACATTATTATGCATGTGAATTGTGTGTGCCCGTGTGAGCAGAATGGAACAGAATGGAAGGCTGACAATACTTTCATACTGGATTGTTGAGCCCAGAATTGTTGGTTATGGGTGTCACATGCTGGAATTTTGTATATAGTACAGGGTTTTGTACGATTTGGGTTTCTGCCTTTTCAAACTGAATATAGTCATGTTTACTCTGAGTCACTGGTCTTTATTATATTGCTTCAAAGTGTCTGTCTGTGCTTTTACACATGCAAATTTGAATATCCTACTTTTCCTGAAAGGAGCACAAGGCAACAAGCCTAGTTGCCCCCTCCCCATCTCACAGCATCCTTGCAGGGAACTAGGTTATGCTGACAAGGACTGGCTGACTGAAGGCTGCCCACTGAGCTGCATGACTGAGCAGGAATTTAGTCCTTTAATGACCTCCTCACACTAGTATCAGCTGATGCCCGCTCTGCAGCAATCTGTAGGCAGCTATTTCTAGTGAATGTCATGGTATTTTGTGTATCTGACTTGCTTAACTCCAGAGATTTGAAGGGTTAAGGGGAAAAATGGGGTAGGGGATAGGAAAAACAGGGAGGAAACTTTTTTCCATGTTTTCCAGAAATTTTTGCAAATAAACCATTGTTTTTTTAAAAAATCCAATTTTCTCAGTTCCACCCCCACCCAAAGCCTTCACACTTCTTGTTTCCTTGTTTTTTGTTTTGCTTTGTTTTTTCCAATGAAAAATACAGCATGCTAGGAGGGCTCATTGCCCGGAACTCTGGAGAGCTCCAGTCCTGCTGGTAATTTCTGATCTCTCTTGACTTCTGCAGAAGAACATGAAATTGGCCAGTGAGAAACTCAGGAAGGAGCTGGAGGAAGAGCTGAAACTTGGCACGGAGCAGCTGTGCAGCCATGCCTGGTACCATGGCTGTTTGCCACGGCAGGTAAGAGCCCATAGAGGGCATGGAAAGGGGAGGGGGTTTTAGGCCTATTTATTCTCCAATTGGACTTCCTCACCCTCCAAAAACAGACCAAGAACTCCTGGCATTCCTGTCTATTTGCCAAGTCAGCTGGGCAGATGGGAGCTGAGATCCAAAACCTCTGGAGAGCATCCAGTTCAGAAAGACAACCATCCTATTTGTGCCTGATTTGTGTGGGAGGCTCCTCAGTGGTGGCATTTGTCGGGCCTTCCCTACCCAGCATGGATCTTTCCACCATGAGGATCTGTCTTAATGCTCTCCACCTCTTCCAGAGTCCTGGCAAGCGCTTCATCATACTGGGTAGTGGGATTTGAGAAGGGGCATAGAGCTATAAAGGGATACGGGGCTGTACCTCCAGACGTACAGAGTTGTAATGACAGCTTGTTCTGATTGGAGCAGGAAGAGAAGCTGTTGCACTTGCTGTGGATAAGGGACTGTTGCAGCAGTCAGAGGTACCAGAGGCCTACACTGTGCCTGGCAAAGTGTCGAATCTAAGTGATTCTTGGTGTCTCTCTCCACTCACTGCTTGGATCAGCCTTTCAAAACCTGGTGCTGTCCAGAAGCTCTGCACTGCAGCACCCATGCTGGCTGGGGGATGCTGTGAGTTGTAATACAGCATATCTGGAGTGCTCTTAGGTTGGGGATCGTTCTCTTCAGTGCTGCTCCTTCACCTGCTAGGGACTTTCCACCTTGTTCCCACACATCACCTACCCCTTCTCCCCCTCTTTCCCCTTCTGGCCGTAGGAGGCAGAGTCCTTGCTGCAGGACGAGGGAGAATTCCTGATCCGTGACTCCCGGTCCAGCCCAGGGGACTATGTCCTGACCTGCTGCTGGCGAGGGCAGGCCCTGCACTTCAAGATCATCCGGGTGGTGCTCCGCCCACGGAAGGGCTATTCCCGCACCCTCTTCCAGTTCGAACAGGAGCAGTTTGTCAGTGTGCCCGCTCTGGTGCGCTTCTACGTGGGCAACCGGAAGGCCATCTCAGACGACTCGGGAGCTGTGGTGTCCCAGCCGGTCAACAGACATGTGCCGCTTCGCTGGCTGGAGGAGCATTATGGCAACACTGGCCAAGGAGCAGCCAAGGAGGAAGTGGTCCCTGTTCGAAGGCTTCGCTTTCCTGCAGCCACGGCTGGAGAGGAGATGGGCGAGGGAAACTTGCTCCGGTGAGAGAACAATGTTCATGGAGCTGCAGCAGGGCTAGCAGTTCAGGCAGTGGTCCCCAGCCTTTTTGGCTTGGTGGGCACACTTGAAATTTTGAGAGTTACATGGGTGCTCTCACAGATGGGCTGCCATGGAAGGTGTGGCCACTGGTGGAACTCTCATTTCCCAGAAGGCAGTGAGAGAAAGTAACTTCTCCAGGAGACTTAAATACAAGGCTGAGGCGGGGACTGAGCTCCAAAACCCAGAAGCCCTCTTCCTAACTCAATAAAGATGGTGCAGGAGTGCAGCACTGTTAAGAAATCAGAAAACCTTAAGTGTAAAAGAAGAATTAGAAAAGCCAGGGAGGCCAATGGGTGCCAAGAGAGGAGTGAGCAGCACACTGGAGAGTGCAGAAGTAGGGTTTGTGGTCTGTGGAGAATTGTTGTGTTGGGTTCAAGCTGGCCTCCTTGAGCTGTGGGTCTGGAGCAGACCAGCCAGGAAGCAGCGCCAGTGCAGTAACTGACCCTCAACCATTCCCTGATTCCCTCCAGTTGTGCCAAACCAGGGCTGGGTATTCCTCCATGAATGGACTTGCAAGGAGAAAGCACCTTCCTTGCCCTCCCTTCTGCCTAGTTTGAGAGAAACATGGGAACAGCTCTTCCAGGTGCTGTGGCTTGTGAACTGTCTTTGGCCTGAGCCAGGTCACCTCCAAAATCCTCCGTCTGAGGTCTGCGTGTGAGTTTCAGGCTGAGCCCAGCTTCCACTCATTCTTCAGAACAATGGGCGTTTGTGGATTGGAATGGTTTCACCGGTTCTCTCTCTTTTTTTCTTCCCTTCCCAGAACAAAAGATCGCAGTGGAAGTGACCCCAGTAGCCTGGACCAGGTGGGCCAGAGACCTTCCTTGCATGGAGCCCAGTCAGACAGCAACCTGCTGACAGGTGAGAGTGGCGGGCAGAGGGGGCTCAAAATGTGCAAGGCGGCACCAGGTACCTTCTGTCTGTGACAGCCAGAGAGAGCCAGTGAAGCTTCAGCTTCTCTCTGTGTATAATGAGGTTGTTGTGAGACCTAAAGATCTGGGCTGCTGCGCTTTCCTAAAAATGGCTAAGGAGGAAAGGTACTGTGACTTTCTAGGGCAACTGGGTTCATTGTCTAATCATTCCAGTAATTCCTTCATCCAGACACACCTGATATCCACCCAAACCTGAGCAGGGAGACCCTGGCGTGTGAGCAGAACAGCAGTGAGTTCCAGCAAGAGATGTAGAAGTTGGCATGAGGTGGGGAGAGTAGAATAATTTGGGCCCTGCCACACCTTTGAAATTTTTTAGCTGCAAAGGCCCGGCTTTCCAACCAAAGGGGTTGAACAGGTTTGGCTTAGAGGAAGGGTGTGGCAGCACATGCCCCATGCCGTCCATGGTAGCATTTCTGCCAGTTTCCTGCTCATAGTGGTGCTTGCTGTCTTCCCCCACACCTCCTGTTGACTTTCCCCCTCCCCTGTAGCATGCCCTGCCCTGCCCCAGGCAAAAGGGACAGAGTTCCTTTTCCTTTTCCCTCCCTCCCTTCCTCTCTCTCTGGCACAGTGTTTTAATTTTTTTAAAACATTATGATTAACTGCCAAAAAGAGAGAGGAAAAAAAGAGAAAAGAATTACTTTTGAGCAGATTTACACTAGTTTTTTTTAAACAACCACCAACCACAGTTCAGAGTCAGTGAAATGGCATGCCACTTAAATGTACATATATCATATTAGCAAGTTTTGCTGAAAAATTATTTGCTCTGACTGTAGCATTTGAGATTTCCAAGATAGGCCCCCTCACCTACTGTCTTTGTTATTGCGTCTGGAAGTAATAGAAGAGGAGTGTGACAACATCAGACTGGGGAAAGTGCACACGCATGGTTTTGTCCCAAATGACACTTGAGCCAGCCAGTAGGGTAGGCTCATTCAGCCCCGCTGTAGGCCAAAGTTGCGTACTTAGATATTTGATGATTATCCAAGCTTTGAGAGGACTAATGTGTATGGGCAGGATTTAACGGGAGATGAGGTTGGATGGAATGTGGAAAATACTTGCTGCCACCCAAATTAATTCCAGCTCTTTCTTCGGGTGCCAGGTAGCCCAGAGGCCTTGCTCGGAACCCAAGACCAGATCCAGCCTCCGCCCTTGTCCCCTGCCTTCCGTACGGGCAGCGACCCTGTGCTACGGCCAAACACCGCTTTGCCTCATCCTCTGGGAGGTCCGGCGTTGAGTGGCTCTGAGGGCCAGCTGCATTCCAAAGCACCCCCCAAGCCACTGAGGGCTCCGTCCATGCTGGGGAGCGACTACTGTGAACTGGTCCCCAAGGCCCCTGAGGGCCCTCGCACCCATGTGGAACGCCTGCAGACAGAAGAGAGGTGGCGTGGCCGGGCCCGCATCACAGAGACTGCCTTTGGCTTCCTGGACTCCAATGAGGCCCCTTCCCCCCCGCCCCCACAGGGGGATGCTGAGGAGGAGGAGCAGGGGTTTGAGCGGCCTTTGCTGGAGGCGGCCTCCTCCTTCCAGCCTTGCCATTTCCACTCGCTGCTCTTGGCCCCGGGCAACAAGCCGCTGGAGCCCAGCACCCTCCGGCACCTCAAGGACATCTTCGCCCAGCATGACTGCCAGGCAACAGCCCTCCACATTCTGCAGATGGACTGCCAGGTGAGAGCGGGTGAGGAGTGGATGGTGGGATTTGTTCTTGTGACAGCCACCTGCCCCCAGGGGCATCGGCTGCTTTTGCTCCCAATTTACAGGGGATTGAGCTCTGTTCTCTGGCGCAGGCTCTTCTTCCCTGCTGCTGGGGCTGCTGGGGCGGGCATTGAGAAGAATGCCATTCTCACCTGGGAGTGGAATCTAGCAGGCTCTGCTCCTTGCTCCATCGTTCCTGGCCCAGGAGAGAGCATGAGGTAGCCAGCCCTTCTCTGCTGCAGTTATTAACATGGAGCTCCCACTGTCTTCTGTGTATTGCCTGTGCTCCCAAAGGCAACAATGCAGAGGAACAGCTTTCCTCTTTCACCCGTGAGCCTGCCACGGGTAGTGTTCGTTCTTTTAACATGCTGCATCAATCTCCACTTAAAGGCTCACAGGTTGACCATGACAAGTGCTTTTGTGCAGGCCAAGTGGACTGCCATACATCTGATGAAGTTATTCCGGAACCATGAAAATCCTTCTCTTAGTCTTCAGGGTGCCCCAGGTTTCTCTGCTTGCTATACACTACCCTTCTGGAGCACACTTATTTTTTAAGCCACATGAAACCATCAGACTGTGTAACCCAAATTGTGCTGGAGTAGGTGTGTGTGCTGGTCAGGGAACCGGAGGAAAAGAGGCAGACCACATGGTTAGCTCATTCTGTTCAGACAGAGAAAAGGCGCTTTTTTTTTTTTTTTTTTGGGCAGTTCCTCCATTTTGCAATAGTCAAATAAATGGGTGTTTGAACTGTTTCATCCTTCCCTGTTCTAGTACATTGGTGGCGAACCTGTGGCACAGGTGCCACGGCGGGCACACAGAACCCTCTCTGTCGGCACGCAAGCCAAGTCGCCCCAGCAGCTGAGCATCGGGTAACAGTGCACACAGGGGCCATGCGCATGCTTGGAAAGGAGTCGTGGCGCCAGGTGATGATGTCACGAGCCGCGACTCATTAGCCACGACTCGTCCGAGCTTTCACATGGCCGGTCAGTGCACTGCTAAAGATATATATAGATATAGATATAGATATAGATATATATTTGCTTGGACTGGCTGTGAGTTGTTTTTTCTAAACTAAAACTTCAGTTTTCAGGTTTTATTGTAGTGTTGCCACTTTGCGATGAATAAGTGGGTTTTGAGTTGCAGTTTGGGCACTTGGTCTCTAAAAGGTTCGCCATCACTGTTCTAGTAGTTCATGTTAGAACTGGGCTCCAGTGGGCTGCTTCAGGCCACAAAAGCTCTAGGCATGTTGGCCTCTCCCTCACTGGCAGTACAAATCTAACAAACTGAAAACTTGATGATTGGCTGCTCTTTTAGGATACTGAAAAGCCACCGGATACAGTGGCCTGCCTCTCCTCCTTAATGAAAGACAAGGTTTGCCCAAATTAACAGATACCTAGCCTGTGTTTCAGTCATGTACATTTTGGATCTTTGGAGAAATGGCATGTAAGCTTCTCTGGGGGGCATGGAGGGAGAGGGGGGCTGTCTCCCACTCTTTTCATATAACAAACACCTCCTCTCTTCCTAAGGCTGCAAGAATAATTGGGGTCCCCAAGGAGCAGCGGCGGGCAATGGGGGTGAACTCGGGCCTGGAACTGATAACCCTCCCACAGGGGCACCAGCTGAGGAAAGACTTGCTGGAAAGGTACTGACTTTTGGTTGTGGTTAGTGGGGCAAGGGGGACAGTTGGCAGGCTGAGGAGGGGATCCTGCAGAAGGGGAGGGCAGCAGTTCTCCCAGCTGCTTAGCCCCAGGAAACAGTGGCTTGGGATGGGTGAAGCAGCGTGCTGACAAGAGAGCTGCAAATTTTGCTAAGGATTTCCGGGGACATAGAAGCATAGAAACAGAGCGAGTCAGAAGAGGCCTCTCGGGCCATCTAGTCTGATCCCCGGCTCCAGCCGGCTCCGCTCCCGACATGCCCACCACGGGCATGTCTAGCCTGTCGTTGAACACCCTCACCGATGGGGCTCAACCACCTCCCATGGAAGCCCATTCCATACCCTCGGGGTCTTGAATGTCAGGAAGTGCTTCCTGGCATCTAAATGGAACCTTGGCTCCCTGAGCTTCACTCCGTTGCAGTGCTTTCTGCCTTCCTTTGCAGGGAAGAACAGGTCTCTACCCACCTCCGTGTGACACCCCCTCACATACCTGTATGTCGCCAGCAGATCCCCTCTGAGTCTCCTCTTCTCCAGGCTGAAGAGACCCAGTTCCCTCAGTCTCGCCTCATACAGCATCCCCTGCAAACCGGCCACCAACCTTGTGGCCCTACACTGCACTGACTCTAGCCTGGCTATATCCTTCCTGTAAAGAGGGGCCCAAAACTGAGCCCAATACTCCAGTTGCGGGTGCACCAGAGTCGTATAGAGTGGTAGTAACACCTCTCTCGATCTAGAAGCCACACTTTTGGCTATGCAACCAAGGGTGGCGTTCGCCCTCTTGACCACCGCATCACACAGCTGACTCATGTTTAGCCTGCAGTCAACCAGTACCCCAAGGTCCCTTTCACTGGTGCTGCTCTCCAGCCTGTTGTCCCCTAACAGCCACTTATGACACCCATTTCTATGCCCCAAGTGCAAGACCTTGCACTTATCCACATTGAATGCCATCCTGTTGTCTCCTGCCCACTTCCATAGTCTGTCCAGATCCTTTTGGATCTGGAGTACCTGCTCCTCAGTTGTGGACGCTGCCCTGGTTTTAGTATCCTCTGCCAATTTGATCAGCAGACTGTTCACCCCTTCTTCCATGTCATTGATTAAAAAATTAAACAGGATCAGCCTCAAGACAGAGCCCTGGGGGACCCTGCTTGTCACTGGCTGCCATCCTGATGATTCCCCACTAATGGTTACCCTCTGCTTTTGGTCTGTCAACCATGCCCTAATCCATCAGACAGTGCTTTGTTGTATCCCAAAACTCCTCAGTTTCTCAACCAGGATATCATGGGGCAGTTTGTCAAAAGCCTTGCTGAAATCCAGGTAAACCACATCCACTGCTTTCCCTCCATCTACCCACCTCGAAACCTTGTCGTAGAATTCCACAAGGTTTGTCTAGCAGGATCTGTTACTGCGGAAGCCGTGTTGTGTGGCCACCAGCTCTCTTCCCTATCTAGCATCACTAGATCGCTCAATATAAACCTTTCCATTGTTTTTCCTACAATGGACGCAAGGCTAACTGGTCTGTAATTCCCCATGTTCCTTCTACTACCCTTCTTGAAAATTGGGACCACTGATGCTACCCTCCAGTCCTCTGGAACTTCACCCATTCTCCACGAGGCCTCAAAAATGGAGGCCAGCAGGCGTGCAAGAACCCCTGCCAACTCTTGAAGTACTCTTGGGTGTAACCCATCAGGGCCTGGTGCCTTTGTAATGTCCAATGCGTGAGGAGCCCCTCGACTTCTAGGGGGGTGACTCTAATCTAAGTGCTCCTAAGTCCCCGGCCTCATCTAATCTCCCATACGGATCTCCCCCATCCTGCTTTGGGGAGAACACAGAGGCAGCTGAGTGACTTTGGGCCCGTCACAGACTCTCAGCCCAACCTACCTCACAGGGTTGTTGTTGTGGGGATAAGATGGAGGAGGAGATGTAAGCTGCCTTGAGCCCTTTGTAGGAAAAAGGCAGGATATAAATTGAAATAATAATAATAATTTAGCATCTGTGCCTGTTCCCTCGTATCAGTCACTGGATCCCCTTCCTCCTTATTTAGTGGTCCCACTACTTGTCTCCCCTTCCTCTTCCTATGCTTTTACATGCTGAAAGAAACCCTTTTTGTTGCTCTTGATATTCTTGGCAAGTCTCAGCTCGTAATCAGCCTTAGCCTTGTGAAGAATCCTTCTGTAGTGGGCCTCCTCCTCCTGGTATACCCTTTTGTCTACTTGCCTCAGTACGCATTTCCTACGGAGGATTCCTCTTTCGTCTAATCCCTCTAAACACCTCCTTTCACATCCATGACTGTGGTCTCCTTCACCTCCCTGCCTTACTAACTAGAGGTATCGTCAAGGCTTGCACCTCCAAAACCTCCCTTTTGAGTGCCATCCACCCCTCCTCAGCTCCCTTGAAGTCCCAGCTTCTAGTGCTCGACCTGCTGCACGTCCCCAGTCCCTTGATCTCAAAGCAAAGGATGGAGTGATCACTCTCATCCAGAGCTCCCCTAATCTGAACCCCATCTATCACCTCCTCCCTGTTGGTCAGGACCAAGTCAAGAATGTTCCCCCCTACCTTGCCCTCTCTCGGACCATCTGCAGGAATAACCCTCTCTCTATAGCATCGAGGAAGTGACGTGACCTGGCTGTCACCGTTGAGTGAGTCTCCCAACTAATATCAGGGAGATTGAAATCTCCCATAATTGCTGTGTCCCTCCCCTGAGATATCCTTTGAATCCAATCTGCCAGGACATTATCCAGGGTCAAGTTGACCTGGAGGGCGATAATATACCCCCACTGTCAGGTCCCTCTCCCTGTAAAAACCCCTAAGTTTCACCCAGACTGCCTCTATCTGTGCAGCATCCTATCTCCCTGCATCCTTTCCCTTCCCTGACATATAAAGCTATGCCCCTGCCCCTTTCTCTTCCTGTGCTTTCTAAACAGGTGATACCCCTCTATGTTCACATTCCATTCTTGCCTTTCATTCCCCCAAGTTTCCATGATCCCCACCAGGTCATACCCTCCTACTCCCAGGAGAGCTTCAAGCTCTTCCTACTTATTACCCAGGCTCCTAGCATTGGTGTACATGCACCTCAACTCCTTCCCACCAGTTCCTTTCTTTGGAATCCCCAGCCTCCTCCTTCCTCCCATCTTCCCTAATACCTGGCCTCTCTTTATAGGAGTCTTGTCAGTCCCTGCAGTACCTCTAAGACGCTGGTCCCAGAGCCCGGATCCTCTCCCCACACTTGTCCAGTGTGGACAAGTTTCTGGGGGGCCTGAACCCACCCCCTCCCCCCGGCTCAGTTTAAAGCCTTCTGGACAAAGCTCGCTAGAGCATCTCCAAAGGACCTTTTCCTCATCCTTGTGAGGTGCAACCTGCCCCTTGCCAGAAGTCCATTGGCAAGAAACCGGGTGCTGTGGTAGAGGAACCCGAAGTGTTCCTTCTGGCACCACACCCTAAGCCAGTCGTCCACCTCGGAGACCCTCCTGTCCCTTCCTGGCCCAAATCCCCTGACCTGTAAGATAGATGAGAAGGCCCCTTGGGCCGGTAGGTCCCTGAGTTTCTTTCCCAAGGCCTCAAAGTCCCTGGCAATCCTGACCACATCCTGCCTGGCTATGTCATTTGTCTCCACGTGGATCACCAGAAGCGGCTGGTGACCCCCAAGTGGAGCGAACAAGATGCTCCACGTTATCCTTCACATGCTGGATGTGTGCGCCTGGCAGGCAACAGACCTCCCTCGCCTCAGGGCTGGTGCGGCACACTTCTGCCTCAGTGCCCCTCAGCAGGGAGTCCCTGACGACAATCACCTGCTGCCGTCTCCTCCTGGTGGTGGTAGGCGGCC